TGTTGGGTTGATTTTGAGGTAATCAGCGGAGGATTTTCAGGCAAGATCCAAAGTAGCAGCAGGACTCGCCCAGAAGCAGCATGGACCGACCACAGCAGAATCGTAGAATGCAGGAAAGAGGTGGAACAGGTGAATGGGAAGGAGGCCGTCTTATCCTTCGGCCCATTCGCATGCGAGCGCAGCGGATGGAACACCGAGTAAGAGAGGCGCCTTACACATGGAAGCGAATGATTTTCTTTGCATCTTTCGGCCATTATTTACCCTCACTTGTCCAAAGCCGACCTTTTTGTGACCTTTCCATTTTTCGCCCCTGTGGCCTTGTTATATTAGTCATGAGTCGATTTTTGTTTTCAGGTCCTCTGGGCAGCTGAGTTGGAGACACGCAACGACACACATCCATCACCTAATTAACGGTTCCGCGTCCGAACCGCGCAGTCAGTGACTTTCCGGTACCAAATCAAGCGCCTAAGAACCCGAAACCACTCCACATTCATCCACTCGAATCATCCATTTGTTGAGCTCTGAGACGGAGTGCCATTGCCTTTTCTTCCGGGAAATTGATCTCGCATGGGAGCACGTGAAAGACCAGGGAAGGGAATGTCAGGAGATGAGACAAATCAATAAAGTTCGAGTGAATGGGAAAACCGCGGGACTGTAACCTAGTCACTCTCTCTGCCTTCACACACACCCACACACGCCTCTGTTCCGCTCAGCCTCTCTCACGGAAATGCGCATGGAAATGCACATGTGCACCTGGAGGCTCAAGGCACGGCAATTGCACCATCAGATCTCACGCAGATGTGCTGCCAAAACGTGAGGAATCCAAAATGGGGTACGAATGGAGAAAAGAAAAACATGTCATGTATGATCTCAGCTTCATTCCTCTCTTCGCTCGGGAATGTTTGGTGATGAGAGATCGGGGGAAGGGCAAACGGCGAAACTCATCCTTTGCACCCGTTCACGCGTCCATTCCTTCTGGCTCAATTCATCCACTTTTCTCTCTTATTCCTTCAGTCACATCATGGATTCTGTAACCGAGATGAAGGAAGACGAACCCAAAATTGGGGTCCCCATGTGAAACATCCAGACTCCCAGAGGACGTTTTTCTTGCTGCCTCGCGCCCACTCGCGCAGGTGTCACCCAAGTACTTCCGGCCCACGGAAGTGGAAACCTTGCTGGGAGATCCTAGTAAGGCAAGTACCGCTCTCGGCTGGCCACTCGGTATGTCCACGGAGAAAGAATGCATTGCGCGCTTTTTACGGACCGGAATGCCCTTTCAATTAATATGGAACCCGACAGGGTCCGGAAGATCATGTTCCTTTTAAAGGGCTCCTTTGTTAGGATCCAGCATGCAGAGTTCTCCTGTGATTGTAAATTTGGTTTGCAGCTTATGCATTCTCATGTTCCGTTATTCGTTCTGTAGCACAGTTGTTTTGTAAACACAGCTAAGGATAAGCAAACGACAGGCTGCCATGCAGTTGAACTAGACACCGAGCAAGCGCAATGCTCCATGTGTGGGAGCCTGGCAGGCAGTCTATAAGATCATGTTGTTCCCCAGGCCTTAGATGCCTATTGTGATTCAGGACGGACATGCTTCATGCGGACATGCAACAGGCAAGTCCACATGTTGACCAAAGCTCGGTACCGGGTGGCATGATTGCAGCTTGCAGCTTGCATTGAGTCATGTGTCTTGAGGCATGGGGGTTTTCCTCGGGAGCCGCGGGGGAAGAATGCGAGCTTGCTGTGCGAGCATCCATGGGGCGGTATCGTGCCAAGGAAGCCGCAAATCTCCTTCAAGGAGCTGGTGTATGAGATGACCCTTGGCAGGCGATCCAGAAACCCAAGGCATTCCGGTGCACGTTTTGTGATGTAGAATTCGCTCAGGGCGAATATGGGCAAACTATGATGAAGTATGGTCAGGCATGAATGGTAAGGGTTGTGTTTGCCTGTTTGCCGAATTCAGGGCTTTTGCCCTCGAGCTTGGGGTTATTTGGGGATGGTGTTTCTTCTTTGTAGGGAGGTGCTATTAGCCGCTGTGGGCCAAGGAGCTCTTCACACAATTTGTTCAGGTTGGATCGCTTGGCCGACTATCGTAGAGGGAAACAAATGTAGCACAAGCCCATCGGACGGAGAGCAGCTTCTTTGTTCCATCCACTCCTCCCCGCCCCCTTGGAGGAAGATGTGTCGTTGCCTATGCCTGGCACGGGCCTTTACTTTGGCAAGTGCGGACGGTTGGATGGTTGGTTGGTTGGTTGGGTTCGGTTGGGCTGGATAGGATCTGGTTGGTTGGTCCGTTGAGGCCGCTTTTTGGCAGGCTGGGGCTTGGATTGGTATATTGTGTTGGTTTGGGGTGGTTCAGAAGGATAGGGGCGCTGTTGGGAGTAAGTGGGTCAGTTGAGCGGCTTTTTGGGGGTTAGGGGCTAGTTTTGGCTGCCAGGTTTGCTTTGTGGTTGGGTTGCTTGGTGCGAGACCCGAGGATGGAGTATGACATGACGCAGGTGGGCCTGAAGCTGCCGGAGAAAGCAAAGGACATTCTGAAACGACAGGACGTGGGGGAGGTGGCTCCGGTTGATCCAAAGGCAGAAGGCCCTGCCGGTATACATGGGACCATTCGGGAAGCCACCAAAGATGGACTTTCACTGGGAAAACTGGTCAAGGAGCCATGGATTATTGATCAACCACCATGTAGCTCCGGGAGCTTCTGAAATCCGTGTTGGGAGAGTGTATAGGGGTGTTGTTCCGAATCCGAATGACTGCTCCGGCCAGCCCCCAGGTTTGATTAACGGGGCATGTATGGTGTTTGGAAGTGTGCGGAGGGCTCGTTGGGCGCCCTTCAAGGACCAATATTGCTGAGCTCGAGCCGGTGTATGGAATTTGAAACATGTGCAGCGAATGAAAAAGGGTGACACTGCGCTGTGCTAAGTCAGGTGGGGGTGGGGTCGTTGAACATGAGCCACTTCAAGACCTCAAGACATGCCGTGTTCAACAGTTTTGGCCTAGCTTCGTCTATTTCAGGGGACAATTGCAACACCCTCAAAAATACTTTACTCCATAAAGTCTTTTCTAAAACAAGTTCGCCAGAAGGTCCCATGTCATTCAGAGGCGATTTTGCGTGCACGTTTTTTTCTACGTTTTTTGGGGTCCAGCCCGAAAAGGAAGGGATTCACTCTGCAAGCTTCATTCGCCTCTGGTTCATTCGGGTTGCCAGGTTGCCGGTGAGAGAGGATGTGAGAGCCACGTTTGCCCGCAGTTGTCTAGGCGGTTGGCCTCGATTTGGTTCATGTGTTTAGGTGATGTGCATAGTGCCTTGCGTTCCCCGCATCAATCTCTAACCTGGTCATGCAATTTGCTCGTGGATTTGGCACAGGCAATGCTGCTTGAGCAACTCCTTTGGCCATCTCCGCGACCTGCGGGCAGCTTTCAACAAGCCACTGCGAGGTCTGACCTTAAGATCTCGTTCTTTTTGTTTGGCTTGCGCTTCATCAGCCTGTCCCGAATTGGTTGTTTGGATTGGTGGTTTGAAGGCCAGAGAGCTCCCAAATTTGACCTCAGAAGTAACAGGGGCTCACCTCCGATCGCCAATCCAAGCCTCAAATTAGGGGCAAGGTGAAGATTCATGTCTGGGTTCTCCTAGAGTTCGAGTTTCCCGGGCGTGGAGTCGCCAGTTTCCAGCGGCGACTCCCATGGAGCCTCAGCCGATGGCAACTAGGAGATAACTTGTGCACATAGCCGCAAGTAGATTTTCCCCAAGGCAGCGTTCAGAAGCAAGCTGGGCCTGAGCATTCCAAAGTATGGGGAGTGTCACATTTTTGGCAACAACGTATATACTTTACTTAATTTTGGGGGCCTTTGATGGGGCGCAGAAGCCTGTGTTCAAGCCGCGTACTGAGTAGTGCAGATCTTACATGGGTCTGTTGTTCTGTAAGGATGCCCCTTGCTTGTTTTTTTTTAAGGGAAACCAAACGGAAAACCACCATTCGGGGGGGTCCCCTGAGAAAAGACACACGCGTTTTTCTTGTGCTTTGGACTGGGACTAGCTTCAGGAACCTGCCCTGGCATAGACATTTCCGGGCAGCCCTTAGCTGCGATGCATAGCAGCTGCCTTGGGCAGGCCACGTGCCTTTGCTGGATAAGCACCCTGAAAGGAGATCTGCAACGTGAATGAAGGTTGGTTGTGCGCATGTTCAACTTCATAAGGCATGGTTGATACTGAGTAGGCATGGCAATGCTGTCATTTGAGTTTCAATGGACAGACGCAGCTATTCGATGTCATGGTCCTGTTTGACGGAAGCATGACCATCCCCTACAGCAAAGAGTTTTGGCGCAAATGACCGCCGTCACGCTCCTGTAGCGTTCTGTGAACCGGGGAGTCATAAAATAAATAGTTGGTTGATCATGCTGATATTTTTTTATGCTGATGATTCACATGCTTCAAAAGGATCTTGTGAGCTTCTAGCCTATTTTATTTGGGGATTCCATTGCCCTTTGTTCCGCCATGTTGTTGTTCCGCCATGTTCCGCCGATTCCCACGCACAATCCAAGTGAAAGGCAGCACGTTGGAAGGCAGTCACGAGCACTGCCAAGCGGTGACGTTAAGCCGGCATCCAAAGGATGCCGAAGGGCAAAGAAGCCCCAGGTGCAGCCTGTGAGGCCAAAGAAATGGTCAACATGCGAAAGGACCAACAGCTCTTTGTCTTTTTATTCTGGTTGGAGCCAACTAATTCGGATTCCCTGTGTTGCGTGAAGTGATGAACAGCCTTTCGTGCTGGAAGTGGCTGCGGGACCCCCGCCACTTGCTCTATGACAACATCTGTGACTGCACCAAGTGAAAGCGAGTCAGTACCAAGGAATTCCCAAGATACATTGAACATTATGCGCAGGTTGATTGAGGTCAGAACCTATTTCAAACGGACCACGGCAAAAAGTAGGACGAGAAAGCAAGATCGAATCATGGCATTGGTGCCATGGGTTCACGCTGTTGGCTTTCCCGACATTCTCAGGTCTTCATTGGCGAGGCAGGGCTGGGGCTGGACGTCAAGTGCCGGGTGAGCCGCAGCTAGAACTTCTGATTTAAGACAGGGGCCGCATTGGGCGACATGTGGTTTCTACGTCTCTACGGGCCGGGGGAGGAGGTTGCCACATACAAGCACGTATAGCAGCTCTTCATTTCGCTTACTTGAGGCTGCCCATGGTTTGGGACATAGATTGCAATCTTCCAGGCATCAGGAAAACGCCCCGATTCCGCAGGAGCCTCCACAACGGCACGAAGATACGGCTCAACACGTCTAGACAATTCATTTGTTCTTTCCGGCGTTCGTTCATTCATTCATTGCCATGCATTCACTCGTTTACTTCCTTGGAGATTTGCAAGCATGGATCATCCTGGGGGCATGGCTGCTTCTGCTCAGCAAACAGGATGCACACTGAACTCAACCAAGTTCACTTCCGAAAGCAAGCGCTGCATGCTGACCTTGAATAAGGCACGGACGCCGGCACGTGTGGTGGGGCGTGGCACCCCCCCCTGGAGCGCAGGCATCAACTTGGGATTGGTTGGGTGGAACATGTCTCTCATTCATTCCTTTAGTTATGTGAATCAGTCAGCTACCTTTTGAACCAGTGGAAATAAATCCATGTAGTGCACCCCCGTGCCCGGAAGCTTTGTTTTGATTTGTGTTGAGTCCATTTGCGAGGGGCGTTGACCCTTCCTGGTTCGCAATGTTACCACTTTGTGCTTGGCAGAGCGAACTCGGCCTCGGCATGTCAACGACGGAGCGCGCAGCCCTTCAGGCTGAAGACTCTGTGCAAGCAGGTTTGTGGGCTGCGTGGAGCTATTTTTTGCAAAGATTGCGTGGACAAGGTGCCCGAATTGAGCGCCCCTGTTTTTTTGTTTCCTTACGTGAAAGACCATGTTGGTCACTCATTTGCTTGATGCTCAATTATTTCATGTTTGTCCTGTTGAGGCAAGGCCGCCTTCGTTTTAGAATTATTTGACCCGTCCAGTTCTACTCCGCTTTTAGACCAGCGGCGCCTGCATGCCAGGCGCCGCCACCGCGACAACGGGCCCGGGCTACTTTGCGGCGGTCCTTGGAAGAGGCAATGCTAAGAGAGTGTTGTTTTCGTGCCTGTTCTAGCGTGTAGCGTGGTGCAACCTTGTTGTACTTGACGGTGTGTTTTTCAAGGGCTCTGGTGTGTGTTTTGAGAGGACGGCTGTTGCCGCCAGAGGCATCTACAGAGGTGATGGAGGTGATAGAGGTGTGTGTCAAAACGAGGCCCGTAAGTTTACAGATAGCAACAAGTCCAAGAAGCAGGTCCCACAACATGCGCGCACCATTCGCATGCTGTGTCTTCTGTTCGCTGCGAGTGACAGGTCTGGTGGCGTTGGTCGCAGCGACAAAGAAGACTGCTGGAGAGCCCAGGCTTCACACGTCAAATGCGGGGCTGTGCATCGAGGTTCACTCTTTGAGGCCTGAGACGTGCCGTGCTTTATTTCTGCCAAGATGTTTGGTTCACAGACGGCGGGCTTCGGCCAACAGGATCGAGTTGAGCGTTTTGTTTGGGCGGGAAACAAGCCATGATAATCCATGACATGTGCATGGTTTTTAAAGAACTTGCCAACACTCAGACAACATGTTTGTGATTAGTCAACGTTGCCTTTTTGACGAATAAGTTATTGAACACTCCAAGGCATGTAAGCCTTTCCCGCGCGTGGCTAGCACCTTGTCAGCCCAGGCAAATGGCACAGGAGGATGGAGATACGTTGGCTCCCGGCTGCGACTACCAGCAGCTGGCAGAAGGCACGTAGCGGTTGGAGCGGTTGGAGCGGGGCCCATCAATAGCCTCCTGATTGCAGCGTAGCATCGAACAAGGTCACTAGGAAAACCTTCTGTAATAGCAATGGGTTCTACTTGCAACAGCGAATGTCATGATGAAGCAAGTGAAGTCGGGTCGCAAGCAGCATAGCTACGCAACACATGCTGCCATCAGTGCTATGTTGCCCCAATCATGCAAACATATTTGTTGGACAAACATGTGGCTTACTGCACACTTATAGCCCTTATAGCCCTGCTAGGAGCTCAGCATCATGCCATATCCTGATTGGTGCCAACATGTTTCGACTCATGGCCTCCTGGTCCCTGCCTCGGAACTCTCAGGCACTGAGTCCTTAATTGGCCCTTGACGGAAGTATATCGCCCGTTATCAAGATCCCACACGCAGAGCTGAGACGTCTAAACGAGGAGATGGATTTGCAGGGTCCTGAAAGTAATGTTTTTCTCCTAGAATTGTTTTTTCCCCCGCCTCCCGAAGTTCCTCTCTGGGTGGAACAATATTAAGTATTAGAAGGGCACCAGGTGCCCCCCCCCTCTTGCCCTTTGCTGCAAAGGGAATCGTTCGAGGCACGCAATGTGAAACAACAAATCACTTCTAAAAGGCAAACGTGGCCAGCAGGTTGCAAGAACTCACCCATATTTGGTCTCTTTTATGTGCGAAGCGTCGTTACACTTTGTATAGATTTACAATTGCCATAGAATACTCTTAAAAAAGACACTGGAGCCAGAGAGCCCCTCACTGTAGTTGGTCTTGGGAAATCTGGGAGTTTCGAGTTGATAGGGCTCATTGATGTTCATGCTAAAGTGCCAGGCCGCAAAGCAAAGGCTGATATGGACAGCCAATCTCAAGCCACGCCACAACAGAGCGACCAAATACTTCGAAGGGTGTTTGAATGCTTTTGACTTGAAGCCAGCCATTTTTTTGTTTATGCCATCAATGGCGCTGGGCCGCGGGAACTAGATACAAACGTGTTTCAAGACCTGGTCCTTAAGTGCGAGCTCATACCTCCTGCCAGGACCTGCAGGACCAATGCCAGGCGCGTTCCGTGACGGAGTGCCACCCGACAGTTCCTTGGTGCATCTTGCTTGGATGTTAGGACTTTAACTTTTTGCCAACTGGTGGGTTTTCCATTAAACCACTAAAAGTTAAACTTTTAGCAGGGGAGCAGAAAGCAACCCAGAGTTTGTGCCTTCATTTACCTGGACGCTGGCAAGTTCTTCAGAAATCGTTGCCCTGGGCAGGCCCTACTGGGGGGCGCGGCGCTAAGGGGCAAGCAGGGGGCTGTGAGATGGGTCAGGCTGCCCTTGCAAGCTACGTTGGCTTAAGGCATGAAGCGATGACTCAGGATGTGGCTGGTCATTCCACGCTGCTGGTTGTGGGTTTGACGGTGAACAAAAATGGTGCAAGCATCACGGGAGCGCAACTCCTACTTTGATCAAAGGAGCCAGGGTGCCCCTTGCTAGGAACTGGGATCGCTTCCGTGAGTGGCTTGAAGGCTGGTGGGATGGGAAGGCGGCTTACGTGTGGCGTTGAGTTGGACATGGCGTTGCTTTCAACTGCGAATCAGTTCTGATTCAGCCGCCCACAGTCACCATGGCTGAAAGCTACTTGGCCCCGCAGGCGAGGAGCCTGTGAGGCAGGAGCCCAAAGTCGAGGGGAGCACTTGGCCAAATGCAGCTTCCCTGCTGCCTGTTAGTGACAGACGCCCCTCTACCAAAAGAAACACAGCGTTGTTTTTTTTGTATGAGATGTGTGTGTTCGCACTGGTTTGCTTCGTTAAAAGCAGTAATCTCTCCCCCTAAAAATACCCCCCCCCCCCCCCTTGCCCCCCCCCCCAGTTAATAAGCAAATCCCCGGAGAGAAGTATGTTTATTATTAAGGGGGTCCCCAGTTTTCAGGTTGGGGCTGTCAAATTCATTTCCCCAAAGGAGTGCTTAGTGACTGATGGCAAGGGAGTCCCAAATCAAACTGGAAGAGAGGTGGCAGAAATCGTGAGCTTAGTATTGGCTTCAAATTGGGTTATTCTTCTGTGTATTGGGGTCCCCCGGGGTTTTGTAGAATCATTTGTATCACTAGAGCGACCTTCATGATTCGGGGCAAGGGATTAATGTCCGAACAAGGCTTAAAAAAGCGCAATCGAGCACTTCGTGTTTGTTTTTGCTTTTCCTTCGAAAGTGAATTAGTTTCAATTTGGCTTTGTGTTTCTACTACGAGGTTGGGAAAAGCATGGTTCCTCGTTGGCGGGACTTTGAGCATGGCTATTGGATTGCGCCAAATTGCAGGCAAACAGGAAAACGTGTTCTTCGAAATAGCGATGTTCAGCTTCTCAAATTAAACCCTGTCAGTGGAAAATGGACAGACGTTTCTCTTACTGCCAAGCCCACCGCGTGCAGCAGGCATGCTGCGCAGATGTAGGAGTGCATTATTGACAGTGTCATAGTGATTATTAATATTCGTCACTACTTGCTGGGGGCTGCCAATGCAAATCACGGTTTGCTTAGCTCAGTAGCCCGCTAGCGCTGAGCAATGCAGCATGCATTTCAGTCAGACAGGCTGACAGGCGAGACTTCCACGAGCAGATATGAGTTGCTGCTTAGCGCCTTGCTGGGCTTCCGGGAAGAAGGATCAGACCATCAAACAAGTCAGGTGCCGGAAGGGTGGCAAGCTAGGGTGCTCGTACAAATAGGCATGAACACCCCCCTCACGGACATGTAATGCGTTGTTTGTGTAGTTTTTTTCATTGTCAACGTGTGCGACTCTCGGATTTCCTATTGGGACGGAAGAACTCAGGGGCCCGTGTCAGCCCATGTCAAGCCGCATGGTTTCCCGGAAAGGTATGAGGGGCGGCGCAGAGGACTGGCCATGTCACCCGATTCGTCGCACATATTCAGGATGCTCAGGCGAGGCAGTGGATCCTTTCGGGGCTCGAGCAAAGACTTCACAGCTTTTTGGTTTTATGTTATTGGAATGGAATATGATAACCTAGGCCTTGAGACGCTTGCAGTCTTGCAGTGAACATTTTGGCCTACCTAGCTGGCAACGTCACTGGTCGCCTCTGTTCATTCTGCATATTTTAAGACTTGTCTTCCTCGGTGTTTCCCAAGAGGGAATTCACAGACTTATTGGCGCCGTAGGGGGGGAAGTGGGACGGGGGGCCCAATTTATGCATGCATCCTACTACTTGGCGTGGGCCATGGTGACTTGCCCCAGGGAAGCACAAGACCATTTGTTGGGTTTCGGTATACCCCGTACTTGACCTTCAAGGGTGTGGAGTATGCACACGTTCAGGTTCTTAGATGCACCAATCCCTTGAGTTCCACACGGCCTGAAGATAGTTTTCCAAGTTGGTTCCTCGGGTACATTTCGTAGATCCCATCGGAGAACGGATCTTCTGCTTCTGTGCCGCGTCATAGACTCTGCTGGTTGATTCTTGGTGCCACAGTGGCAACGATTGTGGAGAGGAAACCTTGTGCAGCATGGTTCAAGTGTCCAAAAGTTGCCACAAGCTGGCCACCGCAATGGAGAAAAGCGATCACTTTGGGCTTTTGGCTTGCGCCTTATGTATTAGTATAAAGCTTCTTGAAGCGTTAGAGTTAGCTTCGGTTGAACATGCCAGCCATTCATTTGTAGAGTGTAGGTTTGTCGAATATTTGCCAAGCAACTCACTTGAACCTCCACTCAACGAGTGGATTTATAGACACCATCTTCATTCATGGTTTGGGCTGCTTCCATCTTAGGGGTCACCGTCAAACCCTCCGCCCACCAAATCTACGAGCCAGCCACGGATCCCCTGTCTCAATTTTGATGCAGCTTTCGATCACCAGGATCCGACCCGGGCAGGGGCCGTGACGTGGCGCCCGGCTCCCAAGCTGTGCGACCATGGACGTTCATGAACAAAAACTCCCCGTGTGAACGTTGTGTATCAAATTACAAGCTTGGCAGTTTGGATTGGAATGGCCAAGGGTTCTCGGAAGAAAAGTCATGTCCACCACAACCTCACTCATCAATACTACTGTGTTTGTTGTGTTTGAGCCAGTGGGAGGGGGATGGCTCAAATTCCAGACTTAGCCAACCACAAACCGCTGCTGGTGCTGCCTTCAAATGGAATGTTGGTTGGCTTCAAATGTTTCTTTTTCATATGTTGCTTCCTGTCGAATCAGCATCTCAAAAGAGATCAAATCAACCATGCCTGCCCTTCCAGCTCCCCCCCCTCACCCCCTCACCCCCCCCTCATCCCCTCGCCCCCCCCCTCCTCACACCCCCTCCCCCCCCCTCACCCCCCCCTCACCCCCCCCCCCTCACCCCCCCCTCACCCCACCCTCACCCCCCCCCACCCTTTGACCTCTCATGGCTGCCAGGGGCCTGCTGCGAGAGCCGCGCAGCCGCTCGGTCTTTGCCCCCCGTGCCAGCAGGGGCCACAGGACTTTCATACGCCAGGCACGGAGCAACCGGCGCTCGCAAAATTGGATCTGTATTTTGGGTTGGGTAGAGCCGGATCACAAGCAGGCCGCACAAGGCCACGAGGCGAACATTGGCAGAAGATCGAATAGTGTCAAATCCACAGCTGCCCAGGTGACCGCTACCACGAGCTGGATGACGGCCCTCAGGATCACGATTGCAACTTGGGGAGTGTTTTGTGGATGGAGCTGTTGCTGTACTTAAACTTTCAATCTGCGCAGATGACTCTGAAACTTGTGCAAAGGCAAATCGCTTACAATGGAGGGGTGACTATGGTGACTGTGTTGAGATCGGTGACTCCTTGTTCTTCACCGATCTTCATTTTAATAGACGACAAAGCCTCAATCAGGCAATCAGCCAGTAGCTTCACTTCTTTGTGGACTTGATTGTGTTGTCAGGTGGCTGGGCACTCACACAAATGAACATTGTAACACTTTTTACATAGTGTTTGTGGGGGGGGGATGTCTCCAACTTGCGCTGCAGACGATCGAGGCAGAAGACATCCTTGGAACAAACTTCCAACAGACAGATGAGCTTCTGTCACTGAATGGCTGGCACTCGGTACACTATGGAGGGCCATGTTTGTTCGATACGGTTTTCCCGAGAACTGTTGTTGCACCCTGCCTCCCTTCCGCAGACTGGTTAGTTTTAAGTTTTAGCCTGAGTTCATGGGCAGGCCCGGGATCTGGGGCAACAGAAAGTCAGGATGCCCAGGGAGGAGGTTCTCGTCCTTTTCGGCTCGGCTTTCAGCGGGTACGTGGCCATGGAGGTGGACCCCCGGAAGGCCAAGAGGAATGCCGATGCTTGGACTTAGTGGGCTCATGGCTGCGCATTAGGCGCCACTAGATCGGATTTGGTAGCAGTACGTTGCTCAGGTTCGTTTAGGGTGAGCTTTGGGCTGCCTGAGATCTCAATGAGGGCGGATTGGTAGTTTGGGGTTCATTTGGGTTCCGTCCCAAAACCCCAGTCGGTCTCAATTACCGCCGAACGGGGAGAAGTAAAAGTTGCCAAGAGCTGCGCAAGGAGGGCGCAAGGGCGTGCAAGGGACGCGCAAGGTTTAAGTTTTAGGATTTCATGCACGATGCTGCCGAGCTTCATGATTGGCGAGTGTTCTTTATTTTCAGTGACACCACAAAATCAGCGCAAGCAGCGCTTGTGAGCAGCGCGCGCAAGGTACACACAGGCACGAGAAGACGCAGCATCTACCCCATTTGATTTAAGTTGCCTCGGATGTCTTAGCGGCACGGTTCAAGGAATTACCCCATTTGATTTAAGTTGCCTCGGATGTCTTAGCGGCACGGTTCAAGGAATGGCAATTTGCTCTGCTTCCGCAACATACACTGTCCACCGTGAAAGTCGCGGCAGTTTGGAAGCCTGGGGATCCCGGTGCACGTGTGAACAACAAGTACCGCTTAGAAAACCTTCCTTGGCAATGCCCTACATCTCAGGCCTCAATACCCTGAGCCCTGAGTACCCTACGAACGCCTTTGCTTCTTGAACGGCTCGCGCAAGTCTCGCGCAAACACGCGACAACCTTGCAAACAAAGGTCAGGCGAAAACTAGTGTCTGCGTTGCTGAGCGTGCGCAAGCGTGGCCGAAGGAAGCAATCCCGGGCAGAAGAACATAGGACAATTCCCACTGGGTCTGGGCAAAGGGCTGATATCCTGTCTGCTGTTGGGTATCAGCCGTTGGCGAAGCCCAAATGAACCCCAAGCCAAGCCAAGATTAAACCAGCCAAAGCCGATCCAATGGAGAGCCCTAGATCCAGCCATTCTAGTGAAGAAGATGCCTCTACCCAGACTGTGGATCCTGGCCGAGGACCAACGCTACATCGCAGCTTTGTCTGATGCACGGCTGGAGGGCTCTGCGGAAGGGGTGTACTTCGTGCTGCGGGGCTTGGGCATGAAAGCCATGGAGGCTTGTTTCTGGGGGTTTCTTTCGGGGGCGTTGAGAGGCCGGGTCAGGGAATGACTTGTTGTGCTGTTGCTGCGGATGCTTCCATGGCCTGTGGATGAATTCGATTCGGTACTCGGTGAACTTTCATCCCCTCTCAACAGGCTGGGGAGAACATGTATACATCACGTTTGGCTCAGAAGGAGACTTGATGGGATGGGTTGGTTGCCTGTTCTTGGACATTCTGTGAGCTATCTCCGGGTTGTGGTCTTTTGTTTGGTTGTTTAGATGTCAGAGGCCCCACCCTGGTTCATCCCTGCCTTAAGTTTGCATTTCCCTTCAGACAAAGCTGTCATCAAACATGCCCTCGTCACGAGTAATCATTTCGGCACACTGGAAGATGGACTTATTGTGCTTGGTGATTGGGGCGCCAATCCACTCTTTAGCACACTGCCAAAAAAAACCTACAAGTGGCAATAGCCAATCCCGAAAAACAAATAAACTTGTGGGGATGGACGAACTTCTGCGCCACCAAAGAAACCCTGGAATGATTTGATTTCACCTGTAGATGCCAACTAACATTATGGTTTCAACCATGGTTTCAAAATGCAGGAATTCGTTTCTCCACAGTCTCAGCCAGAGCTTTGGAGTGTGACCGAGCTTTGGTTCAGGGTCCTGGAGACTTGCCCCGCATCGAGATCATGGCGGCGCAGCATCCCAGGCTCTGGACTCGCGGATGCGAAATCAAATCCCCCCGTTTGCGGCAGGAGTTCGCGACCCGGTAAAGTCTAAGAGTTGGCATGACATGTGTGGATTCATCGGTCATTGCCGATTGCCAAACAGCTGCCTTTGGTGTGATTGCTTGGCTAGTTCAATCAGGCATAAGGCTCGCCTGCCAGAAACCCAAGAACACGGAGCCGCTTTCTTTTGGAAGCGTTGCAGGTTGCCTTTTGTTGTGGGACTTGAGCCTCTCGCTGGGAAGCAAACCTAAGCCACAGTCAAAACCCGGGTAGACGAAGGGAAGTAAGGGGAAATCCAAATAACAACTGGGTGCAGCCGCATGGCTCTGGCTAGACCATTCCAATACCAGCTTTTGATTGTGCCTTGCAGCGGGCCAGTCTGAGTAGCTTGGTTTGACCAAGGGTGGTTTGCTGCACTTGGGAGGCTTTTTGCAGCCCTGCGGCGCTTGGGGCTCCGCCACGTACGGGACAAGAGCCCCGGAAAAGCTCGGAGGAATTGAAGGGCCTGGTCCAAGCTCTCACGTTGAGAAGTGTTTTACCTGGATTTCTCTAAAATGTTGTTCCGGCATTGCGCAATATTGCACATGTTGTGGTGCTGTTTGGGGTGTTGTGGGAAGTTGACGCCATGTGTCATGTTGCGGCCTTGGTCTTAGGTCAGTGCCGCCTTGCGACTGAGTAGGTTGCAGGGTGCCTATTCCAACTGTTCGAGCTGTCCTACCTCTAGAGGATGCAGGTAGAAGAACGGATTTGACGTCCCAGGCTCCGCCCAGATTAAAGTATAAACTGTAAACCAATAAAGCAAAGGCCCTCAAATGCCCGAACCGCTTTTAGATATTAAAGACATAGAAAGCAACTCCAAGCCCTAAGACACTCTTAAACCCCAGAACTGTAAACCCTAAACACCCCAAACCCAAAGAAGACCTTAGAAGCGACACGTGTGTTTTGAGTCCATCAACGTGAGCATTTGGGAGTCGGAGCTGGTGGAGCAGTTTCTAAAGATACTTTGGGAGGTTGATGTGCTTTCTTAAATCCACATATAGGATGAGACTGAGGGTGTGTCACTTGCATGCCCATGTCCCTGGTATCGCCTGTTGATAGGGAGGTTAGGTTCAAAAAAACTATACTCCACCAGTTTCAAGTTTCACCATGGCATAGGGTCTAAGAAAATTGAGGTACATCTTGGACCTCAGGATGTATGCCAATCAGATGTGCGGTGCTCCTTCATGAAGGTGTGTACCATTTGGGTGTGGCTCAAAATTTAATAGCTAGGGTTACGCAGGCTTTAGCCTTTCCATTCACCCAGGTGCCATTTGAGTTTCGAGTTTTAGAGCCACGGCCATTTCTGTGGCGTTTTTTTTCTCCCATGAAGTGGGTATGGGTCAAGAATAGGCCTTGTTTCCCTTTCCAGGGTTCCATTTTGGTATTACCTGGAGTCTCCATGGCCCTTTACAAATGGGTGAATGACCCCAAAATTTGGTGAATGACCCCATTTGTTTAAGGGTCATGGAGACTCCAGGTACCCCGTTTGTGACTCACGGCGCCAAGGATCATCCTGGAGCCCAGCGAGGCGGAGGTGTCGCAGAGCCGGTCTTTGAAGTCGAAGTTCAGCTCGAGCGCCCCGGAGCTGCGCGTCAGAAGGCACGGCGCATTGATCAAAGGGGCGATCGGTTCGGTACGTCAGGTAAGTGGTGAGTAAGCCTGGTCGGGTTCAACCCACTGAATGGAGACTTAGAGCCGTTATGAAAATTATGGCAAGTGGGTTATAATCATGGTGATTACCCACTATCCAAGTACCCTGCCCCTTTAGGCGGATGTTCTCAATATTGATTGCGGACCCTTCTTGGTTGGAAAGCAAGGGAAATCAACCATTTTAGCAGAACCCTATTTCGAGATACACCCCATGGAGCTTGGCTTTGGCGCTCGTGCAGGCCGAAAGCCAGCGCGCCTGTCCCAAAGAAGCAGCGCTCACCGGAAGAGCGCCATGTCTTCTTTGAGTGCATGGCACTGCCGAAGTGCGTGGGCCAGGGATTGCCATACCAGACGCTTGGCAATGAAACGGCCAGCTGCCATGCTGCTCCAGAGATGTAGCGGTAAAATCCACTGTCCATTGGGTTGAGTTTGCCGGAGTAGTGCCTTTGTAATCAGCTGAGCTTCCAAGTCAATCGATGTATACAAGTCGTGTGGAAAAGTCGTGTGAACATAGTGCGCATGGATGGTGGCGATTGTCATTTGGCTGGTACTGCTTCACCTGATCAAGTCAGCTTTCAGAGAGCAGTGATGGGCATGCTGGCAGAAGCCTGCAAGTCGCCGACCCCCGAAAAGGAACTCAGACCTGTCAGACAGTGCACTTTGAACGACTTTGAAGACGGCTTCTTGCGCCGCTTCACTGGATCGCCGCCATTGCCAAAGAGAGAGAGGGGGAGACAGTGATTGCCCGCTTGCTTTCCCACAACATGTGCATGTGGATATGCAGAAGTACATAAACTCATACGGGTGTGTACACATGAGGTCTATAA